GAGTCATTGGAATAGAATTAAACATTTCCTATGCTATCTTTGAGGAAAAAAATTGATATGATAATTATTTTACTTAAATAAATCAAAGTGAAGTTTAACTCGGTTATACGGATGCATGTTATTTATCTAATCCATATAAAGCTCAATCATAAATAGGTCATGTATTTACACTTGATGATATAGCTATATTATGACGTTTTATGACGCAAACTATAGTCGTTAACATTCAAATTATGCGAAGTACCAATTTATAAGGCAAGTCGAGAATGTATTTTGCTAAGATCAACGATTCATCATATCTAAGAGACATGCAGTTTATCTATCGAGTAAAGAAGTTTTTAATAATATTGTATGAAGATAATGCTGCTTGCATAATTCAATTAAAGGATAAATACATCAAAGTAACAATGCGACGGACTTGTTCATTAAGGTATTACATATTACAATTTTTAAGAAAAATGGTTCATTAGATTGAAATGCATCGTTTTAAAGATTTTAAATGATGTTTTCAATAGAGGGAGCTCGACTTTGAGTTTAATGTGCTCAAGGAGTATTGTACTCTATTTTCTTTACGAGGATTTTTTCCCATTGGATTTTTCTTAGTAAGGTATTAACAAGGCATGTTTCTTGTACAATGGATATTTAAGGAGGAGTGTTATGAAATAATGAATGTTCATATTCTTTTTATATTCTCACTAGTCATAACTCTTAATGTAATTCAATTCACCATTAAATATGAAAAATTAAAAGGATAATGCAATTGATTCAATAATTTATGTCCTTTAAATGATTCACGAGTTCCTTCCAATTCTCATCCTAATCTTGAAGCTTATAAATATATTTGATTATTCATTAGTTTTGGTATAAGTATTTTTGTAGAGATTGAGATAATTGTTTGGAGTTGTTATCTCTTGTATTTATTTTATTTTATAATGAATTCATTTTTTTATCATTTTTTCTCTTATTTTATTGTTGTTACTATTTCTTTTATAATAAAGGCATTTTTTTTTCTTAATAACTGGGTGATTCGAGTACACATGCGGGCTCACACTATGAGAGGAGTACTAAATCATCTAGGGAGTGGTCACATTTGGGAAGATTATTGCTTGAGGTTTGATTTTGCATTTCCCTTTCTTCGATCATATATATATATCAAAAAATTATTTTAATTTAAAAATTTAGACGAGTTAAATAAAATCTTAAAAATAATTTCATATTATTTTCTAATATACTTTTACAATTATTTCAATTTAAAAATTTAAATTATTAAATGCAGATTGAAAAATAATTTTATATTATTCTCAAACAATATATATTCTCCGTATCGGCATATGAAGCCATATATATATATACACACTTCATTAATTAATTAGTGCTTTAAATACATATATAGGCCTGCTATACATTTGGTCTTCTCTGAATTTTGATTAATCATTTTAACGTAACTAATTTTGCAAGAGAGATGCATGTCTAGCCATATAGGAATCGATTACAAGTTTGTGTAATATTAAAAATTATACAACATTTTCTTTATTATTTTTGTTAATTAATAATATTTGTAGGAATCCGAAGGGTTTTATGAATTTCTTATTTTTTATACGATTTAGGAAAGTTGATTAAAAATTAAATTATTTTAATAAGAAAAGAAAGCATTTTACCAAAAATTACAACTGAGAAACTATTATTTTGTTATCATGAAAATTTTATTTCCCTAGAAAGGAAAACATTTTTTCCGGAATAATTTAAAAGCATATATATATATATATATCTTTTATTCTAAGTACAATTTATGTGAATATATTACCAAAAAATCGTACGTGCTAGAACAATTAATTTTATCAAAAAAAGCAAGCGTTATTTTTCTGCATAACAGAAATTAAAATGTTTTCTCTTTTCAGTAAACCAAACATGAGAAAAATTACTTCATTAAATTTCTTAGCAAAGAGTTTTTCATAAAATTTATTTTTCATAAACAATTTATGTTTGTGCAAACAATTAAGTTAGTATGTCCTAAATTTTAATTTCAGATTAATTTGCCACACAAGGAGCACTGACATGATTTTTCTTATTATTTTATAAGCTGAAGTTTTATTGAAAGTAAAAATAAGACAATTAATAGTGAGCATTATTGATTATATCTATTACCTTATATTTGGTCTTTCGATTTTTTTTTTTTTTAAGGTTAAATGCATTGAATTAAATTTATTTTGTGAGTTTAAAAAAGATCGAAGGCAAAGGAGCAAAAATGAGTTAACTTGGGTGAAATTTCAATGCTGGCATGCATATTGACATTTGGAGGAAGATATGAGAATTTTATATCCTTAGAGCTCCATAACTCAAAATAGATCTCTTGAAGTTTGAAGTACACATATTAAGATTTTTATGTTGAGTTTAAATGCACAAATCGAATATGATTTAGGCTTCTAAATCGGTTGCAAAATCAAGTAAAAAATTTGGATCTCGTCATAGTTTGAAATACTGATTAGAGTTTGGACCATATTTAGAGTTCTACACATTAGATTGAAATGATTCAAAATCTTGCAGAAAAAAAACATCTAGGCCACAAATTTTATGAAGAGTCCAAGACCAAAACCAACCACCTTCTAATCTTAAATCAATTCGAAAGTTCCAACATAGAAACAAAAATCTCATTTAGCAACAAGTCCTAATTAATAGTGGGAATAAGCCTAAGAGATAGGATTTGTGATGTCGTATTTATTTGTTTACATTTATAATTCAGTTCAAGAAATTTTGTCTTCAATTCAAAAAAGATCGTAAGACATAGATTTGATCTTTAAACTATTCTTGATAAGTTGAGAATAGTGGGAATAAGCCTAAGAGATAGGATTTGTGATGTCGTATTTATTTGTTTACGTTTATAATTCAGTTCAAGAAATTTTGTCTTCAATTCACAAAAGATTGTAAGACACATATTTGATCTTTAAACTATTCTTGATGATTTGAGAATTTGTTGTTTTTCTAAACCTAATTAATTAATTTATGAATTTAATTAATTATAATTGTATAGATGATTGTCTAAAGAGCTCATTAGTTGGTTGTCTATTGTAATTGATAGCTAGATGACTTTCTTAATTCATAATTGTTATGAAAAGTTAGTACAATTAGCAAATTAGGTTTTCATGATTATAATACTAGTGTTTGTGACTACTTTAAGGAAACAAAGAATTAATTAACTAATTTAGGCATCCTAAAATTGCTGTTTGATCTTAACTTCTTTCTAATTTGTAATGCCATTAGTAACTTGACTAGGATTGCTTAATACTAAAATTAATTGATAATAAGAATTTACTTCGGATGTTAGACTTTGAATTAATAAATATAGAAAAGATTCAGATTTATTCTATGGTCTAGGTAAATTTAGGTCGAGTATTCGATGAAATGATAGTGATTTAAGTATTTATGATCAATTTACGAGAATTAAATATTTGAATTTTCTCTTAGAACTTAAGTTTCTCTAATTGAATTTTTTCTTATTTTAATCTTGCTTATTTATAATTAGGCCGGACAAACAAAACCCTTTTTTGGTTTTAGTTGAGCAAACTTGATCGATTAGTCTCTAGGGTTCGATCTGTACTTGTCTTTATTGCAAAACTTTGTATGAACAGTGTTATAATTTAATTTTAGTGAATTTGACATCCACCAACATTATGCCCACAATTACAACAAAAAAACCGAAATTAAAATGTGAGCGTATCAAAATAAAAGGAAAATGAGCAAAGCTCACTCAAGTATGCAAACAAACACGCAGAATGCATATCAAATTCAATGCACTTAACAAAGCGTGGATTTCTCATCAGCTTCCACCAAAATCACCACCATCTCCTAATTGAACACCAAAATCACTACAAGGTCTATTGATTGCATTGCATGTATGCCAAATACTACATTTTTGCTGCAGTTTGCCTTCACTTTTCTGATGCCTATGCTTGTCTGCCTTGTAATGGTAATATCTTTTTCTTAATCTAATTATCTCGGGTGATTATTGAGAAAAAAGAAAAGAAAAGAAAAGAAACAACAATACCATTGACAGCATTGCCTACGAGATTAGAAGGCATGGACTCCTTTTTTATGATACTTGGAGGTGGGGTGATTTGAACCTGAGCACTCCAACTCCAGGGTCTCAGATTAAGTCCTTAATCAACCATTGGACCATGCCCTTTGTAGTGTGAATGCAGGGGTCCCAATTATTTAGCCAAAACAAGATTCCATTCATTATCAGTACAAACACTCCACCATGCACTTCAAATTGGTAGCTTGCTAGGCACACGATAAATGAATGCAAATTTGGGTCTAGCTGAAGGAAAGAGGCCTTAGAGTAGATATATTTGATCACCCCATCAATCAAAGAGAATAACGTAAAATACAATAGCATAATTAATGTTTCTGCAAATGGATGGTACATATATTTTCAAATTGATAAAATCCAAATGTTGTCACTCAAATTAAGCACATCAACCTTGGTTTCCAATGGAATAGAAACTTATAATAAAAACCCAAAGAAGCAACACTACTGTATATCATCACTTGCATATTAAATATATAAACTAGCTAGTTTATAATTATGCACAACAGTACTGTCTGCCAATTAAATACTTAGGTTGTATATAAAACTATAGAAAATAGAAGTGTCGAGTGTCTTACTTGTATCGTCATATATAGCCTGAATCCGCGCACAGACAGGAAATAACTCATGTTGCTATGTAGCGTCTTGCACAGTTTCATTGCATCGATCTGTCTTCATCATGGTTTAAAGGGTACGTAACACTGTAGAGAATTTAATACTGTGATAGCTCAATGAATTTTAAAGTCTCAGACTGTTTCTGATCACTTGCCATGCGGAGGTGTGTGTATATATATATATATATACACTCTGCTTTCAACTTCATTATTGAACCAAATCGCCGGGGGGGGGGGGGGGGGGGGGGGGTGGAGGGTTGGAAAAAAAGAACAGCCAACACCATGCATGAAGGGTACCATATTTATGAATCGGTATTATCTTCATCTGGATTGCTTTCATCGTGACTTTGCAAATGAAGAAGCCCAGGATTTAGATTCAAGGAAAAAGGTTTTGTTGTTGAGCTCGTTGTGCGAGAAATCGGCAAGATATGTTGTGATGAACTTGAGCTCAAGAATTGGAAATGGTTCATCTCTCTTGACTCACTCTCTAAGGGAGTTGTAAGATAAGGAGGATAGGATGGAAAAAGTGGTGGCATTGTTGGAGGTGGGCAGAAAAATAATTGAGAGGCAGAAGAGAGAGGCAGTGTTGATTGGGCGTTCAAGGAACTATTTTCTGTTTGGGATAGGTATCCATGACTTCCAAATTGAGTAGATAAAGACAAATTTGAAGCATCCCACTGATAGTAGGGGTTGAAGGGCATATTGAGATTGTTTAGGAAGCTTGGCAAGGAAGAATGAGTGGCTAAAGGAAAGAAATTTTGAGCTGAGACCTGTCCAGTAGTACTGTAACTTCCAACCCCATCTTGATTATTTATTTCTTCTTCATTTGTCTTGATCCACTTGCCTTTCTCAGTAATACTTTCAACTTGCTTGCTTTTTTCTCTTTTTGAAGGTTCTACATCCCAGCTGTACCTTGATTTTGGCACAGTACTACTGTTTTGCTCCTCCCCATCAAGACCAGTAGTACTAGTGTTGATCTTGCTCCCTAAGGAATGAAATCCTACGTCATTGATAAACGTAGAATTGGGATCAAAGAAGCTGGGAGATGCATTTGATTGATGAGAAAATAGCATGGGCTGGTGGAATTGACCAAACCCTGGTTGCATCTGAAGTGGAGGCAACTTATCGATATCATTTTTAGTGGCATCAAGCAACCAATCTATTACCTTGCTAGGCTGACTAAGGACAAGCCTATCTTGAAGATCATACAGCTGAATGGCTGTGGGTACAGAAAGCCTAATTCGACGGTCCCTCAGTCCCCTTATGGTGCAAACCTTGCTATGCCTATCTTTTCCTCCAAAAGAACGGGAGACTCGAACAATTCTCGGATTTCTAAATGCTGACCATTGTCTTGATGAAGAGGATGATGGTGCCTTGGAGATCTTGCCGGCCTCACTGCTGCCACCTTCTTGTTTTGCTTGCAAATCTTTATCTCCTGAATTTGAAATCATCTTACTTGGATTCTGGATCTCATTATTGAGTATACACTACTTATATGCAAGGCGGCATCAACCTCTGAACAATCAGTAGTACATATACATAATCAGTTATCTTATCTCCAACTAGATTATTCTCAAAAATTAGTTATACAGGTTCACAATCCAAAAAGAAGAAGTACATAATATATATGAAATTGCAGGAAATAATTTAGCTTTTGATTTTCTTTTTTATTTTATTGAAAATCAACTAAATTAAAACTTGAGAACTACCCACATATATAAGAGTTCTCTAAAAAGTACTACGTATTGAATCTAGGGTTAGCTGAATCCGGAGCCAATGGAAATCTAAATTATATACAATAGATGGAGATGAAATCAAGCCAAAGAGAATTAGAGGAAGTAATTGGAGATAACAAACATGTACATATCTATATATATATTTGGCAATGTTTACCATCCTGTCTTAGGAATAATTAGGACCATATATCTATGAGTTTTTACTTACTTCAGACAACAAGTTGTAGGCTTCCTATATCTGTTCAGCTCGGCTAAGGCCGAATTGAAGAGGAGGGGCAGTCAGAGAAGACAACCCAGCACCATTAGAGAGTCCTTGATTTCCTGCATGCCTTCTTATGGCCGACTTCAATTTAACAAGCTTGTTTTGTGTGGAGGTTCTATTAAACCTTATTTGCATAAAATCATAATTTTGAGATAAAAAAAGAGAGAGGTGTATATGGCACATTTGTGGCCATGTGATGTCCATGGAGGTTTGACATGTCAACTATTAGAGAGCTGATTAATACAGCAATTTCATTAGAGTCATATACGTATGCTTTTAACAATTAAAATAAAATATAATTTTTATAGCACAAAAATGAAAAATAACTGGCTTGATAATTATTTATAATTAAGCCTGGTTGGTCATCCTTGTGCTTTACAATTCAAGTTTTCGATGGTAGATGGTTAATTTTCATGGGGACCATCCAACACAATACTTTATCGAATATCGACAACTACAAATAGCTAGCTAGCTTTTTAATGCATGCCTAGCTGAATAAAAAGCAAGTATGTATTAATTGAACCATTATTTTTCGATATTTACTTTATTAATTATTAGACTAAGTCAAACATCTAAAATTTTAATCTATTTAAAAATTAGTTTTTTAATCTTCAATTTGGAGTTTGATTTTTTCTGCATTTAATTTTAGATTTAGTCCACATTTTAGCTTTTTGTAAAAATAAATATCACACAAATAGTTCTATATATGATGAAAATCATCCACTAATATTTATTTGAGACTATTTAAAAAATTTAGAATCATTCCATTTTATTTTTTTATTTTTAATGCTAAGAAAATAATACAAATACTTTTCGATTTTGAAAAATTAAGAGATTTTTCTTAAAAAATATATTAGTTGATTTTCATTGAGTGTGCAGAACTTCAATTCAAAATACTAAAAATTGAAACTTTTAAATGTAGTGATAGTTGGAGATGGACCAAATCTAAAATAAAATAAACTAAAGTTCTGAAAAATTAGATTCGAAATTAGAAATTCAGAAATTGTTATATATATATATATATATATATATATATATATATAAACTAAAGTTTAAGAGAGGTTTGCCATTTAGCCTTATTATATTTAATTTGCCAATCAGTACTATTTCCAACTTTGGGTTATATATATAAGAATGTCTTATATAATAATTAATCATATAATATATAATTAAGTGATGATGAGTACTTAAATATTAATTATAATTGTTAAAAAAGAAATTATATTTGCAGACAGAACTCTACTTAATTTAACATTGGAGACTGAAATTGCAATCTCATGGACTCTCCTCTAAATTCAATAACATTAATTGGTTCAGGTGTAACCTTTTCGCAATTAGGAAGATTAGATCAATAGTTAATTATGATATTTAAATTTAAATCCAATCGTTTTATTAGGTTAATTATGATGAGAGGAAATTCATGAATTATATAAGTCACAGTCACGGGGCTTAAAAAGTTGTGGTGTATGCTACTGAAGTTTCATCAGCTGGATTAGGTGATTCATGGCTAGCTGCCTTGTAGAGGAGGGACCAATGTAGGTTCTTTAAAGCATCTACGCTCAGTAGAATGAAGGACCACGTCCACACAGACTGACGGCACAGAGATTTGCACTGCAGATCGAACTTGAAGTTAAACAGCAATTAACATTCAAAGAAGATCGAATTCTTATTAGCTTAACGTCAAAATTAGGGTGCTTCTTGATCAAATTAATTAATCCGTTATGTCGCCTGTTATTCACGTACGTAAAGAATGGATTCTTTTCTTTCCTTGACGCCTCTCTCTCTCTCTCTCTCTATTATTAAAAAATAATATAAATCATATTTTAGAGTCTCACTTAATATGTTAATTAAATTTTTAAATAAAATGATCTTTTGATATAGTATTATAACCTTACTAATCTAATAGTCAAGAGTTCGAATTTTGTGTCTGTGTAAATTTCAAAACCATAAGATTTTGTATATTACGGAATAATATAAATTATATCTTAAATCTTGTCTAACGGTTTAAGTTTTCGAATAAGATGATCTTTTGACACATACACAATATATATATATATGCCATAATGCACTTATATCCTATCTGATATTACTCAGCGCTTCTGATCTCTGATCTTGTAATACTGATGGATCCTGCAAAATGATGAGAAACCAGCTAAAAGGGCATGCTCAATTTATTTGTGCAACCAATACTGAACTTTTTTTTTTTTTGGACAGCCTCAAATTAAAGGCTTTCACTTGGAGGGTTTAGACTGACACTTTAAGGAATACCATATTAAAATTACAGAAAAAAAACCTAATTATTTTATAGATTGCTACCCAAGAAAAGTTGAAAAGAAACAATCTATCACTACAGAAATATAAAAATTAAAGAGAGAGCATTTATCTTTCAGCCTCCATTAATTGCTCTCTTGTGCCTTAACTCTGAAAACTCAAACTCATTAACCTGAAAATGGATATATAAATAAAAAAAAAAAATTAACATTTGTCTAATCTTTGTGTGTTTGTCTGATTGTGTGATGAAGAGAACACAGAGAGATCAGAGAGTTGCAACTTTTATTCATTAGGATCAGTTACGTACCTTAACAAGCTATAAAAGGTCACCTTCAGCAAAATTATTGAGCTCTAATAGACAAGTACTGCTGCTGCACCAGTCAAAAGCTGAGCTTTACTTTATATCCTTGTTGTATCGAAACAAGAAACCCTAACGGGCTGAACCCTACATATATATCTCTAAAATTAAACCTGCCTTCTTTAGCTTTCAAGAACAATTCAATAGTCAGTACGAAATTAATATATAAGGCAAAGAGGCTACCCCATTTCTGATCTCAAACAAATTACACCAAACTCGTCATTTATCTTTTGGGTATTTGAGAATGAAATATATATTAACTTAAAAATGTTGCATGGATATGAACCCAATTGCAGTTAAAAGTACAGCAAAAGCATATTTCCTTACTTAAAGAAACAGGAATAAGGTTGTGGTGACTGATTGTCATTGATGTCTTTGAATTACATGTAGGAAGAAAGAGAGAGATCGATATATCTTACTCTCTGAGAACAAGCAGAAAATTATGTGGGCATCACGAGAAACGATTTCATTGTTCTGATTCCCATCCTAGACTGCAAAATAAATGGTCCCCTGCTGGATAAAAAGACACCCACTGTTGTTAATTTGTCCATGAAGCAATAAACCTTTCAGATTTTTCTGTGTGAGAGGTGAATGAAACATTCACCAAATATTTTGACTGTTAAGATAACATGATTTCATAGAATTTTATAGAATTGTTAAATTTAGGGTTAACTACAAAATTGCTCCTAACCTTTTACCCCTTTCCCAGTATTGCCTTTTGTTAACTCGAGCAATCAGCTTTTCCATTAATATTAGCTAACAATTTCAATGCCACCCTTTCATCAAACTCTCTTGAAAATACTTACCATCCCCCGAAGGTAATGGAATATTTCAATAGAATCCCAAAAAGTAAGAATGAACAAATTAAAATTAAAAAAAAATATATATATTTAAAAGATATTTTTCTTAGATGATTTTTTTTTCATCAATACTATGTTCCAATCATTCGACAATACAAGAATACCATTAAGAAAAAAAAAAACAATAAGAAAAAATTAACCACAACTTTTGTTGTCCCTCCGATACTTTCTCACTAGTATATAATATTAAAAAATAATATAAATCATATTTTAAAACATCACTTAACAGTTTAAATTTTTAGATTGAGATGATTTTACATATTTGTTCAATAAAACACTATCATGTCATATAAGATATTTAATGGTCTTGATAATTGTTTAGATCATAGATCAAATGGAAGGGTGACATTGAAAACATTAAATAATGACAAGGATAAAAATTGATCTTTCAAATTTATAAATGGCAATATTGTGAACTAGTAATAGATTGCGGGTAGTATTTTTATAGTTAATTTACCCTTAAATTTAAAAATCTTATGAAAAATTATTAGAGAGTAATATAAAACTATTAATTGAACTTAACTTAATAGGCTAAATTTTTGAATTGAAATGATTTTTTGACATGAGTCTTAATCATCAAATGGTCATGAATTCGATTCTCACAATTCTTATTTTTTTTTAATTAAAAATTACATAATTAGGCACAAAAAAATGATGGACATATACAAATAATTAAAAATTACATAATTAAATAATTAAATATAAGATAGTTGTAGGCTTATATAAATTTTAAACTCCGAAAAATATATAAGAGAATAATATAAAATTATTCTTCAAGCTTTACAAAACAATATAATAAAACTATTGGGAATTAAAAAGCCTTGATGGCGTTAGATAGGGAGATAATCAAGATTATCTGAGAAAAAAAATTTGAGAGAAAGAATTTTGCAAATAATAATAATAAACTTAAATTTTAGAAATATCAAATGTTAAGATATTAATAATCTTGAAAATTAACAAGGTGAACTCAGAATTTGAGACGCAAAACACTTGAAAGTAAGATATTTTTATTTATTTATTTCAATGCCCCAATTTCTTATATTAAGTTAATTAGTATATTTTTATTTTTATTAATAATAACACAATTGTTTTAAGTAATTAAGTAATATATGTGTATTTGCTAGGATATGAAGTTGGAAAATTAGTATATATTTTGGTGAATTTGTCTGTGTAGTAGGAAATGATTAATATAATATATATGATTGTCTGCATATATATAGGAAAACTCAATTATATTATTGAGGACAACTGTCCGCTAATAAAAGAGGCAAGATACAAGAAGGCGGTTCATCGAGCTACAGTTCATAATTAGGATAGGTAAGAGCTAGTTTTGATAAAGCATGAGCAGGTTGATTGCCATTTGCACCTAATGTTGGAAGAGCCATTTTCATCTCAGCAAAGATATTTCCACACAGAGCTATTTCCATCTCCGCCATAATCATACCTCTGACCACTTATAAACTATCACTTTCAATGATGCAATTATGTAGACCTATCGTAGAAGCCAATCTGACAATCCACAAAGCAGCATCAGCTTCTGTAGTAAGAACATCATAAAATCCAGCTTTCTTTCTTGTCGTAGCAGCAATAAAGTCACCATTTTCATCTCTGATCACTACCCCAACACTGATATTTTTCTGACCACTATCAACTGCTCCATCCACATTGCTCCTCAACTTGCCCAGAGGTGGTTTAGTCCATCTATCGCTGCCTGCAACAAGCAGGCTGCTGCTCAGGTTAGTCACATTTGATGTCTGTGCTGCCCAGATTTCTTCTAAGTGCTGGCCGGCTTTGTTTCTGAGGAGATGCAAACTGTCAACCACCTCGTCAAAACTCTGCTTCGATGTCAAACATACCACAACGACAAAACAAACCGCTCTAAACTGTCACGAATGTAGGGACAACATTTATGCCAGAACCAATCCTTGAAAGAAACGCCATGGCCTTGACAGTCATGAAAAGCAACATCCATGCTCTAGGAGGGGGCATTGGACGGTGAACTTGGATAGAACAAAGATAGAAAAAATGTGTTTTCATCAAGTATTAATGTAATCAGAAATTCTAAATGACTGGTCTTATGAAGTCAATAATTGTGATTGAGTTTCATTCAAAAAACTTAACTCTTATGGTGAATGGTTCCTTTTCAATTTTATATATTAATCATTTTTTGTTTAATTATTCAATATGAAATATATTCTTTAACACTTCCTCTTACTAATGGTCCATCTTTTGGGATCTTCAAGTATTAGTGTAAGTGTTCAAGATTTAACCTTAATTGGATGGTTTGAGTTATGGTATTATTGCATTATTTATTTTATCAATAATAAACGAAATCTTTCTATTAATTCTTATTATTTATATTTATTTATTAAAAATAATTAGATAGAAGTCCATATGATATGCATTTGCATTAATGATTGATTGAAAGATGTGAGACAAACATTAATGCACTTAAATGATATCATTAAATAGCCCAAGTCGTAGCATTATTAAGAATGAACATTGACTATATGCGGTTATACTTGTGAGTGTTATGCTCATATTATAAGATAACAATAGGATATTTCACACTTATTGGTATGATGATGCCCAAGCAAACACTTAGGTGATTTATGTTAAAGAATATATCACTAGACTTGACTCGCCATGAGAACCCATTTGGTTTAGTCTATGAGAATCTTATACGAGATTGTTACAACTAGTCATTTGACTTGAAGTCATCACGGTTATTTCATTAGATGATTTATGTACTTTGGCACTCGTTTTGATAAATCTAATAAAGGATTGCATGTGGACGATTTGTTGGATGTATTAGGAATCTAATGGAGGTAAGTGAATGACTAAGATAAGACATGTCATTTCTTTTATGCTAAAGGAGTTATCATATTGTACTTTGATGAATGTCTCGCTCAAGAAATCTATAGTCACGAGTAAGAACATACTAAAAAAGCATAATTGATTTACTCTAAGAGCTAAGATATTTAGGAATCGAAAAAAATTTATGTGATCATAATCGAATAGACTAATAACCAAGTTTGAGATCACTATATGATCAATTGACATGAGAACTGAATTATATGGTAACAATGCTTGTGAAAGATAAGTGCAAATCAATTAATCTTCCTAGAAAATTGAGTAGTCATGATGCCTTACTAGATGCCAATCTTGATTTATGTATCAAGAAATAAAAGAGGTATCTTTTATTCTTGATACATTGTCAACATATTTAGGAGATTATTAAGTCACGCGCATAAATTTAAACATTCACATAATAAAAGATAAGCAATGATTTTGGAAAGTGTTTTCAATTTGGAAAGTTTCTTATTTTGGAAAAAGGTTTCCTAAAATGGAAAGTTTTTTATTTTAGAAATCGGTTTCATAATTTGGAAGTCGAGTTTGAAATTTGAAAGTAAGTTACCTAAAAATAAAATTAGTTTCTTAATTTAGGTTTAAGGATAATTTGAAAAATTATTTCTAATGTGGGCCTTCTAAAAATATCTAATATAATTTATTTGGATAGTCCAAATTAATTAGTAATTAATTACGCCAAAAAGTTTTAGACCAATAGGTTTAATTTAAAGCCTATAAGATATTTTAGTGGGAGGATACATATAAACCTAATTTGATAAGAATGAAGGTTTAAAAGGGAAGGATCAAAATGCCCACATGCATAATAACGTCAAATTTTTGGAGGATTAGGAAGCAACAAGCAAGAGTCCTTTTTAGTACACATTACCGCCACTTCCTTGTCCTTGGAGGGCTAGGAAGATAATCCCCTATAAATATAAGGGGAGGTGTGGCAAAAGAAGTAAAAGAGCTAGGGGATATACGACTAAAGAGAAAAATAAGGAGAAAATAGTTTTATGCCTCCTAAAAACATGCCATACCTTTCCCTCTCTCTTAGGTTTGTCATAAAATATCCCCGAATAGATTTTAAAGGAAAAACACTCAACAAGTCAAAAAAAATATGGAACTTGCACTCTGCTACTTCGAATGCTTCTTGTGTGAGTGCTTGGACTGCGTGGATTATCGTTAGAGGTCGGACATTTGGATGACTCTTTTTCTATAAAAGTTAAATTCTACACTATAATAGGTAATCATTTGCTCATGCTTTAATTCATGTATGTATGATTAGTTGATTCAACGGTTTGATTTTGGGAGCCTTCGATTGAGAGAAACATGATCCTACATCAAATGGCTTGAGCTCTAGGATCTTTACTAAGGGATTAGGCTTTTTTAAGGCTTTAATACCGTCAAAGAACCATCTCAATCCAAAACTTTAAATTGTTAAGTGAGGCTCCGGGAATGATTTTTATTTTATGCTCTAACACACTTCAAGTGAAAGCTTTTTGAGCTTGAAACTTGCAACGATCAATCATTACCTTATGCTTAATTAGAAGAGAAAGTAGAGATGGTGAGATTTGAGCTTGTGAATTTTTGGTCATCAAAGATTTGATACCATAACAAAGAGCCATCTCAACCTAAAAACATAAACTCGTTAGATAAGGTTTCATAAATAATTTTATATTACTCTCTAACGTATACCATATAAAGTTAGATAATTAAGATTGAGCTCCATCCAAAAAACTTAAGTCATATGGTGGGTTGCATCTTCACAACTTTATATATTACTCATCTTTTGATTTAACTATTCGATATGAGATATATTCTCTAACATGTTTATACAAAGATCAAAAGTAAAGGGTTAGTTATATGAAGAAAATACAACAATAACACTTTCAATATCCTATTTGAGTTAAGCCGTAATATTCATGACCTAGGACCTAAAATAAGTTGAGAATATTATCGATAATGCCTCATATTCGAAGTGCATTAAATGTGAGACACTAAGCCTTGTGTCCTTAACTCTCTAAATAATTAATATTCTCTACCGAAGTTCATCTCATTTAATATTTAAACCCATCTTTAATATAAAAATTAAGCTTATAAATTTTTCAAACATTAATTCATTTAATAAAAATAATCTTTATATCTTAAAATTCACTTTAATTTATTTAATAGAAATTAATTCATTAAATAATGTGAATATATTTACTAAAAATTCATTTATGTAAAATACCAAATAATTATTTTTTTTTAACTAAAAGTATAGATTAAAACATTATAAATTGCCTCTTTTATTTTCTTTAAATATTTTTATTAAAAAATTCAAAATTAAACATAAATAATCAATTAACTTCACTTAATAAGAATATAATATAATTTAACTAAATCCATTTAATATGAATATAAATTAATTCCTAAAATCGTTTCAACCAAGATATTATTCATTAACTAATCATATAATTAATTTCGGATAACTTCCAATTCAATTTGTTAACTTCCAATTTAATAGGAATCCATAGGTGATTAAACTCATGTAATTACAATGGTTAAAGTTACTAATTGAGCTCATTGGACGCAAAGTATTTAATTAAGTTAGAAAATTATTTGATTAATTAAGCTCCTTGAAAGCTAATTAACCATTTAATCAATTTAATCAATCATTCCTTAATTTAAACCTTTAAATCGAATTAGCCAAACACACATACCTATTTATTTATTAAAATTGTGTCACTAATACTATTAATTTACATACCATAAAAACTAGTTCTACAACACTTAGTTGTGTCCAAAAACTAAAATAAAAAGAAAAGTTTAGGTCTTCTAGCTCACACTTGTATTTTAAGTACACTCGTTTACAAACTAGGCTTTGTTCGGCAATGACCTCTAACTCGAAACATGCCATCATTTGTCCTTTTTATTTCCTACACCACAAGAAGAAAAGGTGAGTTATGCTCGGTAAAGTATATGTCCATGCATGATATGCACTTGACACATATAAAATCCTTTCCTTTCGTGTCTTTATTTATTAAAATTGCATCACTAATATTATTAATTTACATACCATAAAAACTAGTCCTAGAACACTTAGTTATGTCCAAAAACATAAAATAAATATAAAATTTTAGGTCTTCTAACTCACACCTATATTTTAAGCATAGTCATTTGCAAACCAAGCTTTGTTCGACAATGACCTCTAACTCGAAACATGCCATCATTTGTCCTTTTTATTACTTACACCACAAGAAGAAAAGGTGAGTTATGCTCGGTAAGTGTATGTCCAAGCATGATATGCATAAGACGCATAGAAAATCCTTTCCTTTCATGTCTTTTGAAATTCATTTTCTTCTTCGAGCGTATACTTCGCTGTGTATCTATTTGATGCTATTTTAAAACATGCAATTGTAAAAATCACAAAAATGCTAGGCACCTTTCCTTTTTTTCTTATCTTTTTCTTTTTCCTTATAAGAGGGTGATTATCCCTCTTGTAATTGAAGGTTTCTAGCCATTTCCTTTTCCTTTCATTAAAACATCATGAAGAAAAATCATTTTTTGTGATTGTGGCATGAATATGCATGCAATGAAATGCCTTATCTCAATAATTTTCATGAACATTTAGACATGGATATGTACTAAATAAAAAATTGCATACACATAATCAACCATTACATAAAAATATAAAGACTTTGACAGAGATGGATAGGTTTTAGGCACTCAAAGCCTACCATACTTTACTTGGGTATTTCGTTCTTTAAGGGAAGAACTAAACTTTCTTATTTTCATTTGCTCGAAGAAAAGATTAATAGCAAATTAGCCAACTAGAAAGGAAAACATCTTTTTTCGGGAGGTAAGTTGATATTAATTCAATAAGTTCTTTCTTCTATTTTTATATATACAATAGTAGTCATGCTAATCCCAAAGAAAATTATTATACATATCTAGAGTTGTATTGTTAGTTTTTTCAAGAACAATGGAGATGAAAGGAGACATCATTGGATTAGCTAGGAAAAGATTACCAAACCATATGCTGAAGGAGGGCTTGGGATAAATAATTTACAAGACATATTATTAGATATGAAGGGTATATTATCATGGACTTACCTCCAAGGCTCCTCCTTATGGGCTCGCTTTATCACCTCAAAATA